GTGACGTAGACATGTGGGGGCGTGTTAGAACGAGCCGTTTTAGGTAGGCGTGGCTGACTCTTAACTTTTATAAAGAATATCTCTTTGGATTTGAGACTTTAGTCTTTGCAACTTTACAGATCTTCTTTATGCACCAAGAGCTTGTAACACTCCAAAGAGAAAGGAACAATTGAAATCGCGTCATATGACCCCTTTAAATGCAAATGAGCTGCATATTCCCGCCCCATCTCCAGAAGAGGGTGCAGCGTATACGTCTCTCTGCATTGCATATCTACAGCAATAAACAGCAACATGACTGAGAGCAAGAGAACCGGTGTTCAGCCGTACACATGGGAAGCCAAATGCACTAAAAGTGGGACTAAACAGCGCAATGTTAGAGCTTGCACCGCGCGAACACGCTAACGAACGAAAGTAAGAAAGTAATCCGCTGCATCCTCAGCGGCTCAGATGTTGGGAGAAAATGAAGACTCTTATGTTCAGTCTTACATCCAAACCTCCATATTCTTCAGCACAGTCTTCTACTGCCGCTTTAACATGATGAAATCATGATTAACTTAACAACTCATGTGTATTGACAAGCTCCTCTTGAGTTGAGTGTGAGAGTGTGTCTGTGTGATGCAGGTGTGGGATAGCTACGGCCGGCTGCTCTTCTCCAGCTCTGCTCATGATTACCCCGTCACCTCAGTGGCCTGGGCTCCGGACGGAGAGCTCTTCGCCATGGGCTCCTTCCACACACTCAGACTGTGTGATAAGACCGGGGTAAGACACACACACGCTCCTCTCACAGCCCCTGACATCTGCTGGAGTTCAGCATCACTGAGAGACTCTTCTATTTCACTTCATCTCAAACATGTTTTAAATGAGAGTTTCAAGTTTGTTAAAGTCAGAAGGAGATGGAAAATTCATCCTGAATTCATACAAACTGCATCTTTATTGATCGTATTGTGAACGACTCATCCATGCACATCCACAGATGATATTTATTTTTTAATTTGAGCCCATAATCTTTACTCAAAATGTCATTACTTGATCTTCTGGTAAAATGACAGACATTTCTCTGGTGACATGTGCCACATTTCTCCATTCATTTAGCTCTTCTGCCCTTTATTACAGTCGACTGCATGCTCATATTCAGATTGAACGTCTGTTTTACATGTTTTTCAATTATCTGTTTCACTCAGATACATAAGAAAACACCTGTTGCTACTTCTGTTATACCTTAAACTTCATTAACTTTAATTTTCTGCATGAGGATCATAAGCTTACTGGCACTTTCCACAAAAAAATACGAAAAGTCTAAAAGCTGTTATTATGTTAAGTGTTGTAGTCATTTCAGCCTCATTATGTAATACTTATAGGGATTTGTGCCTGTAATGTTGTACCTCATGGTAAGTGCTATAATCCATGGCTGGACTATTTTAGCTCTGTCCTTTGGGCCAGACGGCCCGTGTGTGTGTGTGTGTGTGTGTGTGAGAGAGTGTGTGTGTGTGTGTGTGTGTGAGAGAGTGTGTGTGTGTGTGTGTGTGTGAGAGAGTGTGTGTGTGTGTGTGTGTGTGAGAGAGTGTGTGTGTGTGTGTGTGTGTGAGAGAGTGTGTGTGTGTGTGTGTGTGTGAGAGAGTGTGTGTGTGTGTGTGTGTGTGAGAGAGTGTGTGTGTGTGTGTGTGTGTGAGAGAGTGTGTGTGTGTGTGTGTGTGTGAGAGAGTGTGTGTGTGTGTGTGTGTGTGAGAGAGTGTGTGTGTGTGTGTGTGTGTGAGAGAGTGTGTGTGTGTGTGTGTGTGTGAGAGAGTGTGTGTGTGTGTGTGTGTGTGAGAGAGTGTGTGTGTGTGTGTGTGTGTGAGAGAGTGTGTGTGTGTGTGTGTGTGTGAGAGAGTGTGTGTGTGTGTGTGTGTGTGAGAGAGTGTGTGTGTGTGTGTGTGTGTGAGAGAGTGTGTGTGTGTGTGTGTGTGTGAGAGAGTGTGTGTGTGTGTGTGTGTGTGAGAGAGTGTGTGTGTGTGTGTGTGTGTGAGAGAGTGTGTGTGTGTGTGTGTGTGTGAGAGAGTGTGTGTGTGTGTGTGTGTGTGAGAGAGTGTGTGTGTGTGTGTGTGTGTGAGAGAGTGTGTGTGTGTGTGTGTGTGTGAGAGAGTGTGTGTGTGTGTGTGTGTGTGAGAGAGTGTGTGTGTGTGTGTGTGTGTGAGAGAGTGTGTGTGTGTGTGTGTGTGTGAGAGAGTGTGTGTGTGTGTGTGTGTGTGAGAGAGTGTGTGTGTGTGTGTGTGTGTGAGAGAGTGTGTGTGTGTGTGTGTGTGTGAGAGAGTGTGTGTGTGTGTGTGTGTGTGAGAGAGTGTGTGTGTGTGTGTGTGTGTGAGAGAGTGTGTGTGTGTGTGTGTGTGTGAGAGAGTGTGTGTGTGTGTGTGTGTGTGAGAGAGTGTGTGTGTGTGTGTGTGTGTGAGAGAGTGTGTGTGTGTGTGTGTGTGTGAGAGAGTGTGTGTGTGTGTGTGTGTGTGAGAGAGTGTGTGTGTGTGTGTGTGTGTGAGAGAGTGTGTGTGTGTGTGTGTGTGTGAGAGAGTGTGTGTGTGTGTGTGTGTGTGAGAGAGTGTGTGTGTGTGTGTGTGTGTGAGAGAGTGTGTGTGTGTGTGTGTGTGTGAGAGAGTGTGTGTGTGTGTGTGTGTGTGAGAGAGTGTGTGTGTGTGTGTGTGTGTGAGAGAGTGTGTGTGTGTGTGTGTGTGTGAGAGAGTGTGTGTGTGTGTGTGTGTGTGAGAGAGTGTGTGTGTGTGTGTGTGTGTGAGAGAGTGTGTGTGTGTGTGTGTGTGTGAGAGAGTGTGTGTGTGTGTGTGTGTGTGAGAGAGTGTGTGTGTGTGTGTGTGTGTGAGAGAGTGTGTGTGTGTGTGTGTGTGTGAGAGAGTGTGTGTGTGTGTGTGTGTGTGAGAGAGTGTGTGTGTGTGTGTGTGTGTGAGAGAGTGTGTGTGTGTGTGTGTGTGTGAGAGAGTGTGTGTGTGTGTGTGTGTGTGAGAGAGTGTGTGTGTGTGTGTGTGTGTGAGAGAGTGTGTGTGTGTGTGTGTGTGTGAGAGAGTGTGTGTGTGTGTGTGTGTGTGAGAGAGTGTGTGTGTGTGTGTGTGTGTGAGAGAGTGTGTGTGTGTGTGTGTGTGTGAGAGAGTGTGTGTGTGTGTGTGTGTGTGAGAGAGTGTGTGTGTGTGTGTGTGTGTGAGAGAGTGTGTGTGTGTGTGTGTGTGTGAGAGAGTGTGTGTGTGTGTGTGTGTGTGAGAGAGTGTGTGTGTGTGTGTGTGTGTGAGAGAGTGTGTGTGTGTGTGTGTGTGTGAGAGAGTGTGTGTGTGTGTGTGTGTGTGAGAGAGTGTGTGTGTGTGTGTGTGTGTGAGAGAGTGTGTGTGTGTGTGTGTGTGTGAGAGAGTGTGTGTGTGTGTGTGTGTGTGAGAGAGTGTGTGTGTGTGTGTGTGTGTGAGAGAGTGTGTGTGTGTGTGTGTGTGTGAGAGAGTGTGTGTGTGTGTGTGTGTGTGAGAGAGTGTGTGTGTGTGTGTGTGTGTGAGAGAGTGTGTGTGTGTGTGTGTGTGTGAGAGAGTGTGTGTGTGTGTGTGTGTGTGAGAGAGTGTGTGTGTGTGTGTGTGTGTGAGAGAGTGTGTGTGTGTGTGTGTGTGTGAGAGAGTGTGTGTGTGTGTGTGTGTGTGAGAGAGTGTGTGTGTGTGTGTGTGTGTGAGAGAGTGTGTGTGTGTGTGTGTGTGTGAGAGAGTGTGTGTGTGTGTGTGTGTGTGAGAGAGTGTGTGTGTGTGTGTGTGTGTGAGAGAGTGTGTGTGTGTGTGTGTGTGTGAGAGAGTGTGTGTGTGTGTGTGTGTGTGAGAGAGTGTGTGTGTGTGTGTGTGTGTGAGAGAGTGTGTGTGTGTGTGTGTGTGTGAGAGAGTGTGTGTGTGTGTGTGTGTGTGTTTGAGCATGCGGGTGAAGGGTTAATGCTGCCAGGGCTTTCATGCTGTGTCAGCAGTTCACTGCATTAACCCCCTCAGTAAAAACACACGAGCACCAGAGCACTTAAACAAACACAGGTTTGCCGTTTCGCAGCTCATTTCAGATACACATCATCACAGATGCAGTGCAGATGTGTTTGCACATGCAGTGTCTTAACTCTTTATGAATAACCGTTGTGTGTCACATGTGCTAGACAAATACGCTTGCCTTCAGTGTTTTCGTATTTTTATGCTAGTGCAATTGTTAGATTGTCAGATGGACTAAGATCTTTTATTCATTCGGCAGATTCTCAAAAGATGCTCAGGTCCTGCCGTGTGACGGTGTGTGATGTTGTGTGTGAACATGTGGGACAGCAGTGTATTAATGAATGTGTGCAGCTGCTGTCTAGCGTCTGGACTCATTCCCTGCAGACGCATGATGCTGCCTGAATGTGTGAGATGAGATTGCCTTCCTCCCCACTGAAGACAGAATTAACTTTGTCCATTTATTTGACTTAAATCACCATGCTTTGCGTTGTGTTGAGCTCAAACATTTTCGAGTGTGAACATTTTCGTTAGGGAGAAATATGTGGCCTGTAGCATGAAGCTATCTGAACAAACTCTGGGTTTCACATTAGGTTTAGACTTTACAAAACCAACCAATCCAAGCCGACTTTGATCAGGTTCAGCAGGCTCCCTGTAATTTCAGCTCAAGGCTCGGATCAGAACTAACTATGATCTGTGCTTCAACATTTAAACTTCTAATAGATTTACCTGTTTTTAGACAATAAAACATGCTTAATAGTGCTCGTGTGCGCTTTTTTTGCACTCCAATATATATTTTATTATTACACGTAAAATTAAGTCAGTAAATTCAGTCTGATTGGATTGTTTTCCCCCGTTGGCACACTTACAGATGTAGTATATATTACTGAAGGCTATATCAATCTTTAGCAGAGAAACTAATTCAATTAGGATGTGTTTAGCTGTGTCTATAAGACAGGTTTAATCTCACAGTACTAAGAAGTTAACAAGATCAACTGGCTCCTCTCATCATTATGGCCAGAAACAGTCTAGTTTTGTGTGACAGATTATATATACGCCTGTCACAACCTACCGTCATTTACTGAGAGATTGATAGAGAAACTCCTGACCCACACAGCACACCCTTACCAAAAATAAGTGTGCTTCAAGTTTATTTTATTAGGTATACTTAAGTAAAGTTCATATTAAACAGTCTGTGTAAATAAAGCCACTGCAGATGCAGCTTCAGTTCCACTTCTGCAGCGCAAAGATGGATTTTGATTTGATTTGATTAACAGCCTAATAGTGTCTTATTATTCTAATAAATTAAATGTATTGGACATAAATGATGCATACATTTAATAACGTTAGAAAACTGCTCTTATAAAGGTTATTGACAAAATGTCCAGAAATGGAGGAATTTTTTTTGTCAATATTGCACAACCCAAATGTAGATACACATATGCACACACTATGTGTCACTGTGTGTGATTTCCTACAGTATATGTAGCTTGTCAGAAGGTGTGTGTGTGTGTGTGTGTGTGTCTGTCTGTGTGTGTGTGTGTGTGTGTGT